ACAGCCTGAATTCAGTTCCTGGGATCCACGTAGTAAAAGGAGAACCGACCCTACAACGTTGTCCTCTGACTTCCATGCATGTGCTGTGGTGCATGGGTGCCCACACACATAAATTACAAATCAACTAAAAATCGGATTAAAAAAAATAGTCGAAGTTCTGCAGACAGGGTCTACCTACTGGCTGAGGAAGAGATCTAGGTCAACTCCATAAGGTGACTGACCCCATGGCATCCTGGGGAGTAAGTGCTCTTCTCTGGAGGGCTCTCAGTGGATGTTATTAGAAGCAGAGGGGTTTATGGAGGAAGCAAGCAAGAGAGAGAAGCAAGAAGAAAAGCAAACAACAACAACAACAACAACAAACCTAGTAGTTCCATGTTAGGGGCCTGTAATCCAGGGGTTCAACATCAGGTTCTCAAGGATGTGCAACCCATCTCTTTCATCTGGCCCTCAGTTTGTCTGCTTGTTTGTTTATTACCAACAATGGCCTTGAATAGTTTGATTTTGTACACCAGAGTTTTGAAGTGATAGAACAGTCTCAAAGAGATACAGAGCTGGATACTGCTCAAAGCATCAGGGCCAGACTTTACTCAGCAATGCTGAAGGGAACAGGCAAGAGGGGCCAGCGTGAACAAGTGAGACCTGGGTATCCCAGAGTGAAATCCTCCCTCCTACAGCCTGGAGGTGAGAGCTAGCTCCTTGAATCTTCCCATGTCAAAGAGAAAAAAGCCACAGAAACACAATGACTAATTGTTACACTTTGCATAAATGAATCGATTATTCCACACCCCATAAATAGGTGCAATTTCTTTTTTGTTAACTAAAATATATGTGTCAAATATAATTTCATACAGGAATTAAAAAAGTACTGCTCTTGTCAGTCAGGACTTAGAGGTACAAAGTTAACATCTGAGTAGTTAAAAGGTTCACATGTCGAAGTGGCAGAGAAAGGATTGGCCATTGGAGCTTTCCAAAGCAATTGCCTAAGAGAGGGCTCTGGAGTGCATCTTCCTTTGCTGGGTTTGGCTAGCACAGTAAATCCTCCTTGCAGCCATGAGCTTTCTCAGACAAGCATTTTAAAGGGGATCATCCCAGGGAAGCGCCTTTAACCTCTGGAAACCATGCCAGTGTGTTGTAGGAGGTATGAGGTCTTTGTGTTCACAGGTAAGCACTACAAGAACCTGCAGTGTTAAGCATACAGGGTTGTTCCCTCAAGGGAAGGAATGTGATGCTTGTTATCCATACAGAAGGCTGCAGAAGGCACACTTCCTAGCCTGGTGAACTTTGATCTTTGCGGCCAGGGACTTCTCCGGCACCAGCCCCTCCCCCAGACCCTTACCATAAGCTTGTTTTTCTCAGGCAATCTATAGAATCCATCTTTATGGACTTTACAAACAGTCTCAACATGGTCACATCTGATCTGTATTTAGCTTACTTTGTATTTATATCTGATTTGTATTTACTCATTTATGTATGTTTTGTTGTGCATGTGTGTGTGGGGGGGGGGGGTGTATTCATTATCACCAGAATAGTTTTCACCAAAATGTGCGGTTTAAAAATGCCTAAAAGAAACTATTGGGAGTCAGACTCCCAGAGTTTGAACCAACATCAGCTATTGAGTTGTGTTGAGCTGAACTTGCTTCCTATGGCTCCTCATTCTTTTGGCAGAGACACCCTGCCTCCACACACACACAATGTATGATTAATGAGAGAGTCTCCACCCATTTTCATGCGGAAAATGTGGGGTTTTATTACCATGAGATCCCCCACAGCTTTGACGACAATAGCTCTGAGACAATGAGTGAGGGGAAGTCACACTGTGCAGGTCAAACAATGAACAGGTGGAGAGCAGAGGCAGACAGGTTAGAGAACCTATACCCAGCCCAAGCTGTCCGAAAGGAATGAGCTCTGGAGGCTAACGCTAGTCTTGGGTCACATTATGTCGGCAGTCACAAGAATAGGACAGTGATAGCATGCAGGGCGTTCATTGCTCTCTGAACCTGGTCGTGTGTGAGCAGACCAGCTCCCTCAAGCTCTCACCGCTGTGACTTCCTTGACAGGATGGATGGTAAAGTGTGATGCCTTTGTCAGGGTATTTTATCACAGCAACAGACAAGAAACCGAGGGGCTGGAGAGCTGGCTCAGTGGTTAAGAGCTCTTGCTGCTCTTGCAGAGGTTCCACATTCGGTTCCCAGAGCTGACCCGGGACCTGACTAACAACCACCTGTAAACCCAGTTCCAGAGCATCCAGCGCCCTCTTGTGTATCCAAAGGCACTGCACCCATGTGGTGCATGTACATACACCATTTATGGATACAAACCTTTTTTAAATAAACCTTTTTTAAAAAAAGGAAGAAAAGAAACTAAGATAATGGCACAAATTAGAAGGTTTTTTTTTTTTAACATTTATGTAGAGAAAAGTGGATGACAGATGAAAGCTTTCAAGTAGCTCACCCTGTAGGAACTGGACTTGCAGGCGGTTGAGAGCTGCCTTGTGGGTGTTGGTAACCAACTTGGATCCTCTGGAGGAGCGATCAGTGCTCTTAACCACTGAGCCATCTCTCCAGCCACAAATGAAAAGATTTTTAACGTTTATTGTGTGTATGGAAGTCAGAGGCTGACTTATGGGAATTGCTCCTTCCCTTCTGCCGTGTGGTTACCAGGGATTGAACTCGGGTTGGCAGGCTGGGCAGCAGACACACTTACCCACTGAGCCATTTTGTAGGTCCTTTCATCGTTTTTAAAAATGTATGTCTAAGGCCAAGTGTGGAGGCACATGTCTTTAATCCCAGCACTTGGGAGACAGAGGTAGGAGGATCTCTGTGAGTTTGAGGCCAGCCTGATCTACATAGCAAGTTCCAGGACAGCTGAGGTATCTAGAGAGACCCTGTCTCAAAAAAAAAAAAAAAGTATGTCTATTATAAAAAAAGAAAAATGGAAAGACACAGAATATGAACATACACCTCCCACACCTGATAACTGCTGACAGCGTTTTCACGGGCTGCCTTCCTGCCTTTGTTCCGCTTGTCACGGTCATCTGACCTGGTTTATATTGTGGAGAAGCAATCTCGTCCTCTCGGTATGGCTGTACAGCTCAATGGATCTAACTAATCAACAAGAAAATAATCGCACCTTTCATTGCACTACTACAAAATTTATCAAAAGATACTGACATCCTTTCTCTCAGCATCACATCAGATAGAACACTGATCTGAATGCCAAGGTCAGGGGAGCAAACGGGGCTGTACAGAACTGCAGATCTGGAAAGGGTCGGAGCCAGGAGGTGAAGTCTAGATGTTTTCTCCCTCCAGAAATGAATGGCTCTGTATCTGGGCACAGAAATTCTGTTAGCGCCAGGGCTTCTGCTTCCTGTGGTTCATTTTCCTCTATAGTGCACACATGTGTTGAATGTCTCAGCCTGAGAACTTGGCCCCATCATAGGCACAGCAGCGGCTTGCTCACCAGGCACCCGTTTCCTCTGTCTCCAGAGCAGCTGGCACCGTCCTGGCAGCCAACATCTGGAGCACCATTCTGCCTCTTCGATTCGCTTTGCCAACAACGTGACCTGCTTCCTGATCATCACCCTAAACCCTTGCCTCAGCCAGTTGGCTGCATTGGTTCCTCAGTCAGTGGGCCTCACCTGAAGCTTGAACCTTTCACAGAGAGCTTTCTGAGTAAGTGGACGGCTCTCACCTTCCTTGCTGGCCCTTGCTCAGCTTCCTTACCGTGAAAAGCAGCTTCCTATCTGCTAAAACTTTTCATTTCTGTTTTTAATTTCTCTTTAAATTTATTTCAGCTTTTGTCCCCCTCCTTGATCTATCTAGTTTCTTTCCCTTTTAATGTTAACACTGTGTATAAGTCTAGCAGATTAGTTACAGGCAAAAATGAGATGAAAAAATTAGGCTTGTGTGAAAAGAATGTCAGGGAACAAAGTTGAGGGTGGCTGCAATGACTTAAAACAAAACAAAACAGGAATCTATATGAGAAGAACTCAATAAACAGAGAACCTCAGAAACTCAGGAAATTTCAAGTGGGGGACATTTTAGCAAAAGAACAAACTGTCCCGAGTTTGGTGTGTGGAGTTTGGCATACCTGGTTATTAACCCTGGAAATGGTTCTCTGCAATGCTTCAAAAGTCAGCATTTTATCAGCAAGAAATGTTTGACAGTTTCCTTGTTAAATTCGAAGACTCAAAATTCAAAATACCACGTAAAAGTCCTATCATCTCTGACCTGTGATGCTCACCCACCCTTGCACAGTCACACACAGTGAACTGAGTGGTTCTCCCACATTCCCACTGCCACCCAAGCAGTCCTATCTGCATATCATCATATACGTCAGGGCCTTTTTTGGTTCTTTGATTCTTCTCCTTGATTCAAGACAGTGAATGTACAGAATAGTCAGAAAAGCAATGGTAACTGCTTCTTGCTGTCAGTGACTCTGTCCCCTGGGTCCCCACGGTGGCTTCAACTACCTCCCTTCCTCTTATCTCATCACACTGTGGTGGCATCTGTCACCCCTAGACAAACATCTTTAGCCAGCATCTCATCCTGAAGCCGACTGGGACCACTCTTTGGAAAACCATCACCAAGTCCACTTGCGTGCCTGTGGTGAGCCATCTCAGCCAAGCCCACCATAAGCCCTTAGCACAGCTGGGTGTGTGGAAGTCAGAGCCAAACCATCAATCAATCCCCCCTGCTCCAAAGCAGCAATCTAAAAACTGAACCCAGGGGTACTGGCTCAGGTTGGTAAAGAACAGAACTGAGTGGTTTCAGTGGGAACTTTTCTGACTTTTTCTGGTTATCACTACTGGGTAATTCATCTCAGAGTCAGTCATGAGGAGCCAGATTTTTAGAACTCTGATCTTTTGGTGCCAATTAGTTCCTCTATGATCTCATTTAGCCTCCGCTCATCTTGTCTCCCTTAGCCAAATGGCTCCTTGGGTCTCTTGGAGATGTCGGCAAGGCCCCTGCCTGCTTGCACAGCGGCCAGAGCTGTCCTACCTGAGCTCGCTTTCCACCCTGAACCCTTTCCTGCGGGCCAGCTCCATGAGGAAGGCTCTTCGAGTTGTTCCCATTCTCTTCTCCAAAATGAAGAGGACCAAGTCTCGAAATCTGATGTCATGAGATGTGGTGGCCACTGAGGTGCCCATCTGCCTAGGCCTCTTCTTCCGGGGACCCAGGTGGACTGCCTGCAGTGGATCCATGGGAGCAGACTGGCTGACTCTGCCTATGCCATCAAGTGGTATCTCCTGCATGAGGGCTCTGATGTCATCTCATCCGCAGACTCTGAAGCTGGGAGAATCTTCATGGGTGCCACCCTGGTGGCAGCTTCCTGCTAATCAGTTCCTTTGCCCAATATGGAGTTCTTGACAAAAAGAATAAATGGAACTTTTCCTTTCATATGCTTGATCTCTGCAGCATCTCAGACTAAACTTGTGAAGAAAGTGGGATCCCACCTCTGGTTGAGTATGGTTTCTTATTTCTAAATGTGCTCAAGCCCTTTATGTTGCATTTTTAAAGCTATGTAATTTTATTTTTATTACATTTACTTACTGGGCAAGGGGGTATGTGTATGCATGCCATGGCATGGCTGTGGAAGTCAGAGTAATTTTCTCCCTCCACTGTGGAGACCCAGAGATCAAACTTGGTAAAGATGCTGCTCCCCACTGAATCATCTTGCTGGCCACTGCTGCTTTATTTATTGATCCCTCTTTTACTCCACTCTCATTCTCTCCTCTTGGACATTACGTGGGATGTCTGTATTTTGCACAGGTATCACGTTGGCAGTGGCTGTTTTGGTTTTACGTGAATGGTGTCTGCACCTCTCACTCTGCTGGTCACCTTTGGTTTTTGTTTGTTCTTGTTTTTTAAGCCTGTAACTATGATTTTCAGATCTCTGTTCTACGCTGCTGCTTTAATTTCTATCCCTTTGTGGTGGGCACAGGACCACAGGTTGTGAGCACATCTTATAAATAAGGAAGCCAAGGTCCAGTCACTGCCGATCACAGACTAAGGGGCGAATGAGATCTCAAATGAAGTTCTTCTGGCTTCAGAGGTGACACATCTTAGTTTGGATTTTGGTGTTTTGTTTTGGGTTTTGGTTTTTCTCATGCACTAAGGTTTTCCAGAGAGTGATCAGTTATATAAGTAATAGCTCTCTGAGATGAGATGGCATTTGGATAAAAGTCACTTTCATGAAGTTAGGGTCATTTTCATAACTCTGTGCAAAGTGAAATTTACATCTTTTTTTGAAATTTGCATTTTTAGTCAACATATTTCATAGATCTAACTTCTTTAATACCTATTGTTGGACCTAGGCAAGCACCTACAAGCCTTTGCTGACTGAATCCTTACAAGACTACTGTCAGCTAGACATCCACATAATACAGCAGAGAAGATTCTCGACCTCTTAAACAACCTGCTTAAAACCACAGAAGCAATAAATAGCCACAACTAAGAAATGGCTGAGTCAGGGCTTGAAGTCAGGATTGTCTGACTTCAAATTCTGTTACTCTCGGGGCCAGTGAGATGCCTCAGTGAGTAAAAGCACTTGCCTCCCATCCTGAAAACTCCAGTTCCCTCTCAGCAACCAACTCAATGAAAAGTGAAGCTGACTCTCACAAGTTATCCTTTGATCTCCACAAGTATACGAGGGCACACACACTCATGTACACGCACACACACACACACACACACACACATAAGAAAATTTTCAAAATTAAAAATAATGTTCTTTCCAGGTACGATGATGCACACCTTTTTAGTCCCAGCACTGGGGAGACACAGGAAGACAGATCTCTGAGTTCAAGGCTAGCCTGGCCTTCAGAGTCAACTCTCAATCTCTCTCTCCTTCTTTCTCTCTCTCTCACCAAGCAGCCTCCTTCTGTCCTTCCTTACCCAGTGTGGTGGTCTGAATAAAAATGGTTCACATGGGCCCATAGGGAGTGAAACTGTTAGGAAGGGTAGCCTCCTAATAGGTGCACAGGGATGCAGCCAGGGATGCTTAAGATCCCATCTGCGCGGCCGGGAAACTGGGACTTTGAGTGGTTGCTGCGCTGCTGGTGTCCGCATCTGCAAGGTAAGAATGAGATAGCCCATCCCACGCCCTTACAGGCGTGACAAAGAGGAAGAACCTTAAACAAGAGCCAATAGTAGCTTCCGTTTTCTTCAGAGGGTCATCCTCGCTCAATCTAAAATCAGGTCTATATTTTATAAAATCATCAAATGATCAAGGTATCATATTGACCAATGTTAACTATTGTCCCATCCCAGAGTGGGATGTGTTTCTTGCAGTTACTCTGAGCTGTATCAGTGTCCTTTTCCTGATTCCCAAGCCCCAAGTTTTCTAATACCCGTTACACGAATCCCCTATGCTGAATTCTCTCTTTTGACACACACACTGTATGAAACACCTGAATCTTTTAACATGTCCAGTGAATGCAGAGGCACAGACAGGGGGTTATCTACACCCCTGGAGCCATACTCTACCCGAAGAAAGACTCACGAAGATGACGTGCATACCAGGCAGCTCATCATGGCCTGATCTGTGCAAACAAGGCTTGGACGCAACAAGAGTGCCTACCAGCAGACTGGTGGATAAAGTGTGATGGGATACTCGTAGCCACCTAGGTCAGGCCATATGTAGTAAGCAGCAATGGACAAATATCCACACTCTAATAATTATAAAACCAGCTCACAACTTGTTGTGAACAACTCTAGTAGAGAAGAGCAGACAGGCACATGGCCAGCCTCACATTGGAGCCATGAATCCCATGGCTCCTGGGGTTTAGGCAGGGATTTTCAGCTTTGTCTTCGTGCATTTCTCTTTTGCAGATTTGTTTCTTCCCTTCCCCTCCTCTCCCTTCCTTTCCTTCTTTCTTTTTGTCTTTGAGATCGGGTCTCACATGCTTCCCAGGCTGGTCTAACTCAGCAGCTCACCGGGCCCTTCCCAACTCCACTCACCTCAGAGCACCTTGAACGACACACCCGCCTGGCTTTTGTTTAACAGACAGATTCCTACAGTAAACAGGAATTTTATTTTAACCACAACAAGAAATGTTTTTTTTAAACTACCTTGCCTTTACACCATGTTTCACTGGTGACTCAAGGGCAGTGAGATTGTTATAAGTGAGCTGAGTAGAGGATGGACCTGTCGCTGTCACAGTTCATGTGAAGTCCTACCTGAGCGTCAGGGTTAGACTTGCTTGGAAATTTCATCTGACCAACTCTGGGGATGAAATGTGGGGCCTCGATTCCATTTTTCTGACTTACAGGGCCCTTCGCAATGGCATCCTGTGATCTGAAGCCTTTGTATTATGGTTTGAAAATGGTTTGTACCCTCAAAGAATACATGGAAACTTTATTGCCATTGGGGCATTGTTGAGAGGTCTGTGAAGGGGTGACTAGGCATCAGGAGGGATTAGTGCCCTTGTCACTGGCTGGATGGGGTCAGTTACCATGATGGTGTGTGTTGTTAAAAAGTGAAGCCACCCACGGGGCTAGAGAGACGGCTCCTGCATCAGAGCACTTGTCGCTCTTACAGAAGACCCGGGTTCCAGTCCCAGCACCACATGGCGGCTCACAACTATCTGTAGCTCCAGTTCCTGGGGATCCAGTGCCTTCTTCTGGCCTCTGTGGACACTGCATGAATGTGGTGCACAGACGTACATGCAGGTAAAATACCCGGACACACAAACTAAATAAAATCTTTTTAAAAAATGAAGCCACCCTTCACAATTCTCCTCTGCCACACATCCCTACATGAGAAATACTTGCCCCACGCTCTTTGACATCCCAGACCTCAGAACCATTAGCCAAAATAAACCCCCTTTCTTATAAGTTACCCAG